TGCTGCATCTCTGCCCTCTCCCACAAAGAAGCCAGCTAGAGGTCGCACACCGCCCCCTTTGACCTCTAGGGATGCTCCTTGGAGGAGGGTAGGGGACGCTTGCTTTGTGCAGTAGCGCCCTCTGTCGGCGGAGTCTGGGTCAGCATCATGGACACGGAGGCTGAGGGCAGTCAGCAGCCACTACAGCCACTGGCCACCTGAGGCCCAGGGCTCCTGCTGGTCCAGCGCCCAGGGAAGAGGCACGTCCTCCTGTCACTCATAGGTCTGAGTGTCAGGACAGAAAAATGGGAGCCCTGCCTCAGGCGGCCAATCTGTTAGGAGACCGGAATCAGGGAATGATAGGCAAATTAAAAGCTCAGAGCTGCCCGGGTGACCTTTTCCTCTGGTTAAGTCACCCTGTGGCCTCTGCTGACTGCAGCTCTCTGTGCTCCAGAGACACCTTTCTCTGATGCATAAGGAAGCGCTGCAAAGCTGTGTGATGTGGAACAGGGGCTGGAGGGCTAGCGGGGGGCTAGGGGAGCAGCACAGCTAGGAGCCTTGCTGTTTGTAATTACAGTAACAGATGCGTGGGTGGCAGCCACGCCCCTTCTGGGAAAACCACCTGTGACCCTGGGCAGACTGCCGGCTTCTCCCTGGTGGGTGCAGACACATTGTCTGACCAGGTTCACTGCCACCGGCTGCCCGCTAACCTACCAAGCACCAACCTTGTGCTCAGATGCATGCACTCATTGATTCATTGGTGCAGCCACTCACCGGTTAAAATTGAGGGCCTGCTATGTGCCCCTGGCTAGGAGAGCCAGTATTTTTAATATAGAACAATATTAAAAAGAGTATGGTGGTGCAAAGGTCCTGGGGCTGACAGAGAGTCGAAGTCACCATATGCCAGGCCCAAATATTGGACCTAAAAGCCCAACTGTTATCACGCTTTCTTTCCTCCTTGCCTCTCCCCAGACCTCATACACAAAGAGCATTACAGAGACAACTCCCTAGCTCCTCTTCCTCTCCTGGGGGCTCCTTTCCCAGCTAGTATGAACTAGGGGTGGGAGAAAGCACCCCCCAAGTACAGGGGGCTGGAATTCCATTACTCCCTGACCTCCCCTCCGATGGCAGCACTCCGATGCAGTGAGTACAGCCAGGGGCCCATCAGGTTCATCTGCCTGCCCACCTGCCTGGCCACGTCTGCTGTGCAGCTGGGCTCTGAGAGCAGGGTGCCCCAACGCATCCACCTGCAGAGCCTCGGCCAGGCCAGGGAGCCCCTTGCCCATCGAGCTTGAAAATGTGACGGGATTTTGGTTCTGCTGGCATTTTCCCAGGCTAGAAGTGGAGAGGGGAAGGCAGGAGGCAGCATATGGGAGACTGTACCCCAACATGTGGCTGAGTCAGTCCAGAAAGAGGGAGACAAGGGGTGAACTCAAGCCAACCCTCGGCATCTAGAAGAAGAAGACTGGGGTGGGATGGGGGGCAAAGAAGAGCCAGCCAAAGGGAGGAGAAAGCCTGAGACTCTAGCATGCAAGCCATATCCGGCCCAATCAGCCTGGCAACCAATTAGCCTGATTCAGGAAAAAAAAAAAAATACCCACGTAGGGACAAACTGTAATCAAACACCTATTTATAAGGGTTTATTACGATCATTATTATTATTTTCTGAGAGGATCATTCTAAAGCCTGTCAGGTGAACGTATGCTTTCAGATCTTCATAAATGCAAATCGCTCCTTTCCTGGGGCGGGGCGTGCAAGCAGGCTGAGCTGCAGGCCGCTGCCCTGGGAGGCTAAGGGCTGAGATGGGGCGGGTGTGTACAGGCAGGAGCAGCTCCGTGCCACGGGGCACCACTCCCCAGGGCTCTCACCGTCAGCCCCTCTCCGCCACACCCCGAATTCCCAAGGGCTGCCCGAGGGAACTGGCGATGTACCCATTGCCCGCCAGGGTAAGCAGAGCAGCCTGCTGTAACCTTGCAGAGCTGGGACAGCTGGGTCAGGGGATCTGATCCATGGCTGTGCTGGCCCTTCTGGGTCTGCCCAGTCTATCTCCTCATCCCCAGGGACACTGAAATTCAATACCTCGATTTCCCTACCTGAGCCCAACCCGGTGAGCCCCAAAGGCCAGGGTACCTTTTCAGGTCCCTTCTCCACCCCCCACCTCCCGCAGCAGGGCCAGGCTCAGAGGTGCCTGCCTGGGGTGCGGCGGTGACCGTGGGAGAAGATGATGAGCCTCAGTGTCCCCCTGCTCCACTTATGCGCCGGATGAGGCAGGCATCAGGACGGACAAAAGGGCGAAGGCTTGTTCTCTGCCTTTCCCGGCTAGGTCCAAGGAGGTGGCTGTTCTCGGGAAGAAAAGAACAGAGCCCACTCCCATGGGGTCCTGCGGGAGGCGGCAGCCGTGCGCTGAAGCCCCTGGACCCTGCACACCTGGCAGGACTGTACCCCGGAGCCACACCCTGCCTGCCGGCTCTCAGCAGGAGACAGGAGAGAGGCTGGGGCAGGGGTGGCCCGGGGCCCGGGCTGGATGGAGGGGGCCAGATGGAGCGCGGCCTCCGGAGGGCCAGTCACCTGGGGGAGGGGGAGGAAGCCAGAGGCAGCCAGCAAGCCGTGAGTTGTGGGAGAGGGGAGATCTCGGGGTGGGGAGGGAGGGCAGGGGACAAGGGACATGGGAGCAGGAGGAGGGAAAGGGGGCGAGCTCTCCTTCCTGCAATAAATCGGCTTAGCGGACGAGAGCCGAACAGCCCAGAAGGATTAAAGAGAAGTCTGTATAATACAGCGGAGAGCGCGGCCGGGGAGGGCGGGCGGGGGGCGGGAGCGGAGGAGGGGCGAGGAGCGCGGGGAGGGGGCGCTCCCGCGGCCGGCAGAGGCGAGCGCGAGGCAGCGCGCGGTTCCGCTCCAAACTCCGCCGCCGCCGCCGCCGATCGGACTCCGGGCCGCGGTGGGCGCCGTGCGCAGCGAGGAGCCGGAGCCACCGCGCGCTCCGAGGACGCCCGGACCGCGAGGGTCGCAGCGCCCCGCACAGCCCGAGGCGAGTCGAGCCCGGCGCCCAGGGCTCGGCCGCGGCGGCATGGGGGCGCCCCCGCGGCGCCCCGGGCTGCCCATCTCCGCCTCGGCCCGCGGCCGGAGGCACGAGCGCGCCTGAGCCCATGGCGAGGGGACCCGCCGCCCGCCTCCCCCTCCAGCCCAGCCGCCCGCCGCCTCCGCCGCCAGCCGCCGGGCACCATGCGAGCCGCCCCGAGCCTCCGCGGCGGCGTCTGCCTGCTGCTTGCCGCGATCCTGGACCTGGCGCGCGGTGAGTGCGGGCGCGCGGCGGGGACGCACGCGGGGAAGGGCGCGGGCCGGGTGGCTCGAGAGGCTGGGGTCCGAGCCCCGTCCTGGCGCGCGAGGCTGTGCAGCTGGTTGGCTCGGCGCGGCGGCGGGGGTGGGGGCCGTGCTTTTGGAGAGAGCGCCGGCGGGTTTGTGCCAGTGTGTGTGCGTGTGTGTGTGCGTGTGCGTGTGCGTGTGTGTGTGTGTGTGTGTGGCGCCAGCGTGTGTCTTTGTTGCGCCTGTAAGAGTGTCCGGGAAGGAGCCGTGTGTGGAAAGGAGTGAATTTAGAGGCGTGTATGTGTGCGCGCGCGGGTGTGGAGATGGTGTGGGTCTGCGTGAGTGTCACAGCGGTGCTGGAGTGTCTAGATCAGTTAGCGAAGGGTGTGTGAAAGAGGAGAGCCGAGTGTGGAGGGGTGCTAGCCAGTGCCAGCTTCTTCATGAGGGTGTGAAGTGTGTGAGCTCCTGTCGCCGTGTGCGTGAGTGCAGTAACGGGTGGGGTGTAAGGTGTGGCGTTCCACGCGTGTCCCAAGTGTGCATGCCTCTTAGGGTATGTGACAGTGGAGGACAGTCCTTCTACGTGCGCAGGAGGTGGGACTGTGACAGGCCACAGCTGTGCCCAGCTGGGATGTGTGGAGGTGCAAGGGTGCTGGGGTCTCCATGCGTGTTGGGCTGGGAGTGTGTGCTCTGTGTGAGCAGGGGAGGGTGGAAGGGAGAGTGGCTTCGGGGTGGGTGTGTCACACGTGGACCTGGTCAGCAGCTAAGCTGAGCCAGCTGGAAGCAGGCTGGGGCTCGGGGCTGCCCGCTGATCTGGAACTATTGGCGGCTCTGCAGCCCCAGGGTGCAGGGTCTGAGGCTGCCTGGGGCCTCCGGGCTAGCACTGCTGTCTGGTGTGTCTTCAGTGCTGGCACTGCCAAACCCGGGGACACGGGCACATTTAGAGCAAGGAACAGAACAGCAGTGAAACCTACAAGCCCTGATAGAGGAAGAGGACCAGAAGAGAGCCCTGGGCAAGGATTCCAAAAGCTCGGGCATCCTGGTCCCCATCTAAGCTGTGTGGCTACCCGGGATGCCCAGAGCCAGCTATGCTGGGATCAGAGCCCAACTTTGCAGAGGAGGTGGTGCCGGTGGTGGGGTGTGTGTTCCAAAGTGTCCACTGGACTCCTAGGGCCTCGGGCCCCTATCCCAGCAGGGTGGTGGAGGTGGGGGTTCAGCTCTGAGCTCTGCCACATCTCAGTTCCCTTTGGGAAGTGCCTAGCTAGCTGCGAGTGATTGCCGAGAGGGAAGAACCTCTGTACTGTAACCTCACCCCCTTTTACCCCGGAGGCTTTGGAGAGTGCTGGGTCTGTGGCTGCGAGCAGCTGCAGAATTTGAAACGGGAAGCTGGTCCTATTGGCGGAGAGGGGGAGGGGTTGGAGCCACCCCGGAATGCTAGCCCTGTACTTTGCACCCCCTCCCCACTTTTAAGTGGATCAAAATCTTTCTAAAAGTGGATAAAAACCTCCCCCAACTTTGGGGTGAGGGCTTCCTTTGCTGGATGCCTGTAGAGGGGACGATTATATGGGGGGGGGGAATCTCCGGTTCCGCCGCTATGGAAAGGGCGCTGGGCTTTGTTGAAACGCACTGGAGCCCTCACCTGGACATTGTAGGGAGCGGGGTTGGGGGTTGGGGATAGGAGGGAGCACCCCTTTACCCCCAAATGCGCAGGACCGAAAAACGCGGCAGGGCTGGGGGCGGGGACCAAGCAGAGCTGGGTAGGAACCCTTGACTGCTCTAGGACCCCACCCCGCGAGCTCTCCGGGGAATCCTAGAGCTGCCTTCGCCTGGCTGCTGGGCAGCGGAAAGCTGGCGACGTCCTGGCGCCACTGTCCCCTCTCCCGCCTCTGCAGGCTATGGGAGGGGGCTTCGGGCGCTGTTACGCGGGTCTGGGCTGGGGGAGCCCTGTAGCCTTGGAGGCGGGCAGCTGTGGGTCAAGGAGCGGCGCAGACCCTGATCGCGGACGGGAAACTTTCCTTGCCTGCGGCGCAGGGGGAGGTCTGGAGCCGCAGAGGAGTGGGGAGCGCAGGAGGGTGGGGTACCCTTCCTCCTCCAACCTCTGTTCACGTTGGGGTGGCGATAAGAGAAGAGTCCCTGCGAGACGCAAGAGGCGGGCTGTGCCGGAGGAGGGCGCCCTCCCGGGAAGTGGCCGCGAGCGGTGCACCTGGCCCGGGTTTGCAGGGCCACCTGCAGGGAGCTGCCTCCAAGCGATGGGAGGGGGTGCCCAGATTCGCCACCCAGAAACGTGCGGGCCCAATGGGGGTGATGGCGGGCACTGCTGCGGGAGGGTCTCGACGAGGCCCCCCCATACCTCCCCTCGCGCCTCTTTGGATCGCAGAGCCAGGGGGTCTGCGACTTTGGGGCGGGGAGGCCTTGCGAGCACCGGCGGGAGGAAGGAGCCGGCAGCGCACGGCAGTGGCTGGGCCGGAAGTTCCTGCTCGCGGCTCCGCTTTCGCCAGCGCCAGACTCTCCCGCGGAGAAACCCACAACCTCCGGTCTTCCAGCGCCCGGAGGAAAACCCCGGGGTGCTGTCCACTCCTCTGCTCCCAGCGAACCTGCCAGGCACTTCTGGAGGTCTTGAGCCCCGCTGGGTGTGGGACTTGCCAGGCTCGGCCCTGGGGGATTACCGGTCCAGAGCGGAGCGTGGGCAGGCCCAGTGGGGACCTGGCCTAGCCGCAGCTGGGGGTGGGGGTGCGGGTGGGGGGGGTGCAGGGGTTTGGGGGAGGGGCGCTGCCGGGGTTCGCCCAGCGGCCCCGAGTCAGCAGGTGGGTGGGAGGGAAGGGCTGGCTCTGAGCTGCTGAGGAGCTGCTGCGCGGAAACTGCGGGGGCTGCGCGCGGAGAGCAGGTGCGACGACTTGGCAATTTCATCCTCTCCGCGCGCCTCCTCCCCAGCGGGGACTCCGGCTCGTAGGGCTTCTCCAGCCGCAGGAGCCTGGAAGAGGGCTGCCCGGCCCCGCCCCTGAGGCCCCGCCCCCTGCCTAAACCCCGCCCCTCCCCGATCCAGACCTCCTCCAGGCAAGCAGTTTTGAAATGATTTTTTGTGTTTTAAGTGCGGAGAATGTTGTAGCTGGAGCTGTCTCTGAGATCACATGACCTGAAACTTTTTTTTTTAATCAAGAGAACTCTTTTAAAGGGAACCGATTTTCACCTCCACCCCTGACATCCCAATAATGCCTTTAGCTAGATGATGTCAAGATGATAGCCTCTTTGGCCCAGGAAGGTGCAGAGACCCGCAGGGGCGCTCCTTCCACACAAATTTTTTTTTTTTTTTTTTTTTTTTTTGTACAGAGAATTAAACTCAGGCCCTCACGCTCACCAGGCAGGCGCTACGCCAGTATGTTAGATCCCCAGGCCCGCACAAATCTTCTTTAACGACCTAAGATTGCTCCCTTCTTAATATCCTAGCTGGGTTTATTTATTTATTTTTCAGTAGCCACCGTTATGTGGCTCAGCGGCAATGCGTCGAGCCAGCGGCTAGATGCATTCATATCCTGCTGCAAGACGCATTCCTAGCCTCTCTTTACAGGTGAGGAAACCGAGCCTCAGTTTTGAGGTTTAATGACGGAGCACAGGCTCCTTCTGGCTTCTTTATGCTCCCTCTTTCGAGGGTCTCTTTTCTGGCTTCAGAGAAGTTTTGGACAAGCTGGGTGGGAGAGGTGAGGATGTGATGGCCAGATAGGGGTGGCAGCCCTGATTCTTAGAATGACTCTTCCTACAGAGAGAGGCTTTGGGGAGGGTGATGGAGGGCTTAAGGGACTTACTCATTCTGTGGCATACAGACCCATGACTTCAAAGACCAGCCAAGAGAAGGGTGCTAAGTGCTCATAACCAGGTTCCCTGGGGGCCACGTGGGTGTATGACTTGGGTGGCAGTAGCTTTGCGTAGCTCCTTGCACCCCTCTCCCACATCCCCAGTGCTACTTGAAATTAATTCACCAAGTGCTGATTGTGTATGACCTGCCAGGCACAGTAGTATGTGGGGAATGTGGTCCTGGCCATGGCTGGGGAATACCCGCTCCACCTCACAGTGTCTTTAGATTAGTGGGTAATTGGTTCTTCACCTAGAGTTTGGAAAGGACTCTGTCTCCACCCCTGATTGAGTTGAGCATTGTTATTTGCTTGTTCCATTTGACCCTCCTGAGCTCTGTTCGAGGTAATATGAGTCCTGTGTTGCAGGAAAGGAAACTGAGGCTCAGGAAGGCCAAGCACCTTGCCGGTAAGCTGTGAGCAAGGATCTGAACACAGGACAGTGCTCTCTCCTGGTGAGAACAGGCTGAGCTCATGGTGCGGGAAGTGCCCCCTAGACAGCTGCAGTGTCTTCAGTCCCCAGACTGGATATTTTTCTCTCAACCCAAGCCCAGGTGAGGCAGATTTGCTCAGTGTGCTCATTGGTACAGAGGGGAGAGGGAGCGTCCCTGAGAGAGACAGTGTCAGCATCAAGACCATGAGTGGATGTTTGATTCCCCCCTTCCTTGCCCCCACCCCTTCCCGCTGCTTTTTTTTTTTTGTAAGAAGCAATGCTCAGGATCTTTTCTAGGTGAAAGAGCTGGGTTTCAAACTCAGGTCTGAGATGGTTTGTCCACAGACAGCTGCCTTGTCCCCCAGGACGACAACACAGCAGCAGCAGCCCCCTCCCTGTCTCCATTTATAACCATAGATGTCAGCAATGGTGAAACACATGAGATCACCTCTGAGGAGGTGTCCATCTTCAGGATGGTGTTCTCAGGAAGGAGAAGGTGGTGAGATCCCACTTTGCACCCTCAGTAGATCTGGGAGCAGAAGAGGCCCACGTTCACCAAAACCAATCAGCCTTTCGGGATTCTACAGACAGATCAGTAAATGCACTGTGCTGGAGCTGGGGTGTAAAAGGTACAGGCCGCTGTCACCTCTGCAAGAGAGTCAGCCATGGAAGAGAGGGGTATCTTTCTGACTTGATGTGCCTAGAGGTGCCCCTCCCCAGACTGCACACCGCCTTGGAGGGTGGCACTAGCAGGTTAGGCACCCCAAGTCACATATTCTTTGAAATTTAAGTGCTGTAAGAGACCCAAAAAGATAAAGAACCAGGGGAAAGTGCCCCTGGCCGATGGAGCCCCAGGAAACTGACCTCTGCCCATTTCCCGAGGTGGGACCCACCTCCCGCCGTGCTAAGAGATGGAAGCAGTCATCACAGCAACAACTCTGGGCTGCATCTTATGGGTGCCCGTGATGGTACTGGCATTAACCATGGCCACTTCAGAGCGACCGTGACACCAGCAGTGCAGGTTTTTGGGTCCTTGCTAGGACTCTCCCCTCACCCCACCTTTGTGGTTAGAGTTTTCCAGCGATCATTTCGATTGCTTGGAAAGAAAGAGCTCACCGGGTTCCTTGGGTGTGCTGACTGCTGGTTACCTCTCTCTTGGTGACACACAGGTTGCCGGGCAGGGCATGCTGCCTGGTTAGAGGTGACTGTGCCCCGAGAGACTCCATCTCCCGGTGACTGCCTTTCCTGGAGGCTGGGGCTGTGGAGTGCACCCTGAGACCCAAGTCATTCCCTCTGTGATCTGTGGGGTGGGGCCTGCCACACTGTGATCTCAGGTTCCCTCCCTCCACCACCCCTGCTGCATGGAGGCAGAGACCCTGTTTTTGCACACCATTGACACTTCCTCCTGAAACACATAATGGCAGTGGCATACAGGCTGGCTTTTTGGGTGGCTGAGCCACCCATGGCCTTTGGATGTGTGCCTCCTGGTTTAGGAGAGGGCTGAGCTTGCGGAACTTAGGCTGGACTCACAGGTGGACTTCTGGCAGTGAAGACCCAGTCCTAGAACTACATTCTCTTTCTCTGAAGGGTCTTGGATGTCAGGCTGGTGGACACATCACCTCCAGACATCCTGACCCTCTGTCTACCAGTAGCACTTGAGAATGGACACCTGTCATCCCATACAGGCCTCATGGGAACAGGAAGGCAGCTAGCCTTGCACCCATTGGTTGGAGGAGGGAAACTGAGGCTGGGGAGATGGAAGGAGGGCCATAGGCATTGGCTGGGATGGGCCCTGGGCTTTGTGGCTGCAAGCTCACGGTCTTCCCTCCCCAGCCCATTAAATGCTGCAGGCAGCCCCAGGGGACTGAGGTGACATAGGCCAGCACCCATGAGCTCACTGCTCAGGGAACTTGGACTGGCAAAGGTGCAGTCTGAGCCCATCACTGTCTCCTTCCCTGTAGACCTCTGCCTGCCAAGGGGACTGTAGCCGCAGGTTGCAGGTAAGGACACTGGTGTGTCCGTGGCCACCCAGACAGGACAGCAGAGCCCAGCCTCTCCCGGCCCCACAGATCCGCCTGTGCAGAGGATCCTGGCCTTGCTCCCCTGTCCTATTCCTCCTCCCCCACTTCCGCCCTTCCTTGGCTCCAGAGCAGGCGTCTGCCCACAGCCAGCTCAGTCTCCGGCTCCCTGTGAGTCTCCCTGCCAGTCTCCCTCCTTCAGAGGGCAGGAGGTGTCCTGTGTCCGTCTCTGTCCTGAGCAGACCTCTTGAGGGTGGACATCCTTGCACCCCAGCTCTGCTGCCAGCTCTGGCTCTGAGCAGAGACCCTCAAAATGTGTTTGTTAAGTGAATGAAAGATGGAGCCGAGGTTCTGTGTTCCCTGGCCCTGCTCTGTCACCTCTGGAAGTGCTTCACGTGTGAGAACCTGTCCATCTATCTCCGTCCGTCAGTGTCGCTCACACTGGCACGCTAGCTGGCATCTGGGGACAAGCCAGCAGTGGAGGTGTTGGGAAGACCAAGGGGCTGCCTGTCCTCTCAGGACTCCCCTTGGAGGGGATTAGGGAGAGGAGGGACAGACATACATCCACGGGGTGGTCCCCACGTCCCCTCCCCTGTGCTAGTTATGTTCATGCTACATCATATTTGCTCCCCCCGGAGCCCGCCACTCAGAAGGCAGCACAGGCTACAGTTCATAGAGGAGGCTCTGGGGCTTACGGATGTCGTGTGACTTGCCTGAGGTCACCTGTCCCTCTGGAGCCATGCCACGCTTCGGTTTGCACATCTCTTCCCAACTCTGAGTTCACCCTGTTGCTAGCATGAAACTGACCCCGGGAATATGTATTACCCCACGGGTTGCCAGTGGCACTGCCAGTCGGGGCTCCCCGCAGAACGGCTGCTAGATGTTTGGCAGCGCGGCCCGGTATGCAGCCCTTCCTCTGCCCCAGCTCGGGCACACAGCCTGGGTTTCACCTGAACCGGATCCAAGGAGCTCACTGCTTCCTAGCTCAATATACTTGGGCAAGTCACTACCTCATCTTTTAGAAAGAGGTGGGGAGCCGGGTTCAGTGATGCCCAGCCGAAGGCCCAGCCTGTGAGAGGCCGAGGCAGGAGGACCAAAAGCTAGAATCCAGTGCGGGCTATTTAGTGACTTAGTGAGACCCAGGCCCTAAATAGAAAGGGGTAGGATGTGGCTCAGTGCGGAGGCCCTGAGTTCAATCCCAGGGCCACAAAAAAGGGGAGGGGCCATGTAGGCCCTGTCCCTTCCTGGGGCCAGCTGGCCTGGGGACCCTCACTCTTCCTGTCCTGTGTAGGCTGATGCTGATGTTGGAGCCAGGCCAGGGGATCTAGTCTCTTCCATTCATGGGGCAGCTGCTCCAACCTGAGTGTGGCTGGGTGGCGTCTCCGTCAAGGACTCCTGGTCATCTGCAGCCCCACAGGACAAAGCCACTCGAGAACCATAATGACTATGTGTGATTATTTGGCCAATGCAGGAATCTACAGGGAGCACAGGGCGTGGATGACCAAGGCTCCGAGGGGTCCCAGGCAGGGGACAGCATGTTCCAGGTCCTGGAAGGGTGAGAACATTCCATGAGCTTGCAGGGCTGACCCAGTGAGGCAGCGGCCCGGCCCGCTAGAAGCCTGGTTCTCACTGAGGTGTCGGGAAGCGGGGTGGAGCAGCTGGCGGAGGCCTGTGTGCCTGCCTGTTAGGGCCCTGGGCCTGGGGAGCCATTGAAGGGAGGAGAACAGTGATCCCGAAATATTTATTTGGCTTCTCTGGGCTGCCTGAGTCTGAAAACTTTGGAACCTCCATAGGGTGATATGTGGTTGCTCAGAGGAAGAAATATTTTGAAGATGTCTCCCAGCCACGGCCCAGAAAGAAAGCCAGGCCTCTGCCAGGCCCTGCCAAGACCGCCCAGTCAGGAATGCAGCTGCCCCAGCCAGAGCATGTGCCTTGGTTTGGGGCCAAGAGTGATGGCCAAGAGGATGCCCTTCCGGGAAGAAGTTCCAGATGCCCGGCAGGTGTAGGCTCTGGGGTTTGACCAGGGTCTGAATCCCGTCTCCACCGCTTGTTCCATGTGTGAACTCAAAACCTCTGTTCATTGCTTTCTGCCTCGGTTTCCCCAGCTGTGCATGCATCTTTTCATGTGGGAAGAGGCTGCTGGGAGGGGTGAATCAGCCAGCAAAGGGATCCTCAAGAACAGTGCCTGGCACATGGCAGTGGCTTGAAAAGTGGGGGCTGCTTTAGAATGTTGTGTGGTGTCCCTATTGTGGTGAATGCACCCCGTCCTGTTCCCCCAGTGCCTGGGGAACTTCAGAATCCTAAACCCAGGGAATTATAGAGCATCAGAGCCAGAAGGAGCAGACAGATTATCTGCACCGTCTTCCTCCCCATTTTAAAGGTAGAAAAACTGAGGCCAGAGAGGGAAGCAACTCACCTTTGTTGCACCCATCCAGCAGGATACAGGGGTGGGTGTTCTCCCTCAAAGTCCCCAGCCCCAGGCCAGGGCTCTGCTTGCTCGGGAGCACTGGGGTCTTTCAGAATGGGGTGGGGCCCTGGCGATGCTCCAGCAGGGAGCAGCCCAGAGTCACAGGGAGAGGCAGCTGAGCCATCCGGCTTCCGCCCCTCTGCCAAGCTCTTCCCTTTGCCCTTTCCTTTCTCTTTCTGCAGAGACACCCTGTGCCTTTGATGAGCTTAGTTGCCACCAACTGTGGGTGCTCCCACCATCTGCCTGGCACCCCCAAAGGAAATCATTCTGACATCAGCGCTGCCCTGGCATCTACTGGGGAGCTGTACTGGGCTGGCCTGGATGGGCAGTGCCAGGCCGAGGTAACCAGAGGGTGGGGAGCTGCAGCAGCCCTAGCCGGCGTTCAGATTTGTGTCCGGTGGGAATTCAGGCCCTGCAGTAGCACACGGCCAGGTGTCTGGCTCCACCGAGGCAGATCTGCTTTCCTAATTGTCACCCAGCACCTAATGTCCCAGACAGGGGCTGAAGAAGTGAGGTGGGGGCCGTGAAGGCCGCCACATCACAAAGGCTTCTTTGTTCCCTTCTGCGCAGGAAAGTGGGTCGCAGCTCGGCTTGGAGGGGAAGAGGCATTAGGAGGCAGATTCCAGGGCCGGGCGCCTGTGCCTTGGCTGGGGAGCTCGAGGTGGCTGGGGAAGAGAGCTCAGTGCCTTGCTGGGAGGTCAGGGTTACCTCATGGGGCAGAGCCATGGTGCCCAGCACAGTCTGGATGGCAGAGACCGACTTCTTACTTCAAAAGAGAGGACAATAACTCCCCCCTCTCTCTCTCACTCTCTCCTTCCCTTCTCTCTTCCTTCTTTCTTTCAGTCCTTCCTTTGTGGAGCAGATATTTATTGCCTACTTCCTGCAAGCCAGACACTGGGGAGGGTTTGGAGATGGGAGGAGGATGAACGGGCAAGGTCCGCCCTCGTGGGGCTTACAGCCTAGGGCTGCCCACCTGCTCAGTACCTGCCCCGTGTGACTATTGATATTTAAATTACAATGAAATAAAGTGCCTCGGTTTCAACAAAATCCAGTTTCTCAATCAAACTGGGCACAGTGCCAGTGTCTTCTGGCCACTCAAGGCCAGCGGCTGCTGCGTTGGGTGGTGTAGATGGCACTGCCACCTCTGCAGGAAGTTCAAGGATGACCCGGGTCTGGGGTCACCTTCCTCCCAGGCAGGATGTGAAGTAAACGGGGACTGCAGAGGGAGGGTCTTGTCCTTCTCAGGTTGTCTTTGCAAACCCAGAGAGAAAGCCTCAGGCTGATGCTATCAGGTCTGCATTATCTTTGCATTACTGCAATAAACACTTGACATTCACAGCGGAAAGGAGGAGAGGTTTATTACGGCTCCTGGTTGCGGAGGGTCCAGTCCATGGCCGCTAGCTCCGAAGCGCAGACATCATGGCAGCTGCTCACTTGATGGCAGCCAAGAAGCAGATAGAGAGGGAACCAAAGAGAGAGGAGGAGGAGGAGGAGGCTGGGGACCAGATGTAACCCCCAAAGCCACGCCCCCAGTGAACTATTTTTCCCTCGCCTGGGCCCATCCTCCTAACAGCACATTCAACATGAATTTGTCCATGGATCTGTCCAGTATGAGGCCAGCGCCCTGGTGCCTGTCACCTCATTGGTTGACACTCCTGAACAGTGCTGGATGGGGATCAGGCATCAGTGCATGAGTCTTTGGGGGGGACCCCTCATATTGAAATCCTAACAATGTCTTTGATGCCTTCTGTCACTTGTGGGTTTCTTCTTCCAAGCTTGAGCCACAGGCCTTCCACAGTGGCAGGGAGCAAGCTTACATGGTGTTTCTATTGCAATTATGTCTCAGTCACCCTCGGTTTGAGGCAGGTGACACTGGTTTGCCACTTGGGGAGGTGATTTACATTCTCTCTGTCCTTAAAAGTGCTTAATTTAAGTAAATAATGAGTCAAAGAAAAAAGTACAAGAGAATCAGGAGACGCATATAGATGGCTGCTCTGTGGAGTGGTGGCTGTGGGCGTCTGCAGTTAGTTACCCGATCTGGATGGAACAGTGGGATTCTGTGGGGTACAGAGCATGGCTTGAATTTCAGGGATGCCATGTGTAAGTTCTGTGATTTGGGGACCAGTCCATGTGCCCTCAGGATCAGGTTCCAGCAGGCAGTGGTGAGCACCCTGGAGAGTCTAGGGAAGGCCTTGGGTCCAGGGACCCAGCCCCTGGGAATGTGGGAGGGGACCCTGGTAGCTGGGACCAGAAGGCAGGCTGTGCTGCATGGCACCTCTGAGTGAGAGATGCAACCAATCCCTGGGGATCCAGCAGGGAGCTGGAGAGAGAATTACCCAGTGTCACCCTCTTCCTGCTGGTGAGGCACTTCTGGGCACCTCCTTGGGAAGTCCCTGCAGGTCACCTTTGAAGGCACACAGCAGGTGGCAAAGGGGGAGGGTGCACGTGGCAGAGATCTAGACCAGCTCGCCAAGCCTCAGTTTCCCCATTGATACGGGGAGGAGCCCGCTCTGTGCCTAGTGGACAATGCACGATGCTCAGGACTCCAGCTAACCCTAACCCCGGCTGCCCACTCCTGGGGCCGCTCCTGCATGCACTGCTGTGTTCTGTGAAGCCACGTTGGAGTCTGGGCTTTAGGAGAGGGTGGACCTGGCCTTTCACAGTCCACCCATCTCACTGGCCATGCGGGGGATCACTGTGTGTTTGCACCAGGGTTCCGCCCTGGGCAGTAGTGACCTCTGCATGTGTGGTTCCTTCTCCAGTGTCTTCAGTGACATGGTGCCTGCTCCTCCCTCGCTTCCTGGTCTGTCTCACTGATTGATCACTTCACCCCAGGGCACACCGATTCGTCATTCCCCAGTCTATTTTCTACCCTATTTCCCACAGAGATGTTCTTTCTCCTTGGGCCCATTTAGGCCATCTTTCCTCCCATCCTACCACCTCCTAGCGCATGCATCCCCGTCAGGAACGGGTGTCACCTGCTCCGCCCGTGTGGGAAGCAGCTACTCCCTAGACATCAGCTACTCTTCAGGAGGGGAGGGCTCCTCTGTGCCTGCTGGGGCTGGGGCAGGGAGGAGACCAGTGCTTTAGACTGCCGGCTTCTCATCCATCACAGTTAGAGGGATCTTCGCATTGAGGAGTAGCTGGAGTTCAGGGAGTAGCTGGCTTCTAAATGGAGATAAATTTTCCTTGGGAAAATGTGCACGAGGGTCCTCTCAGCTCCCAGCTTCCAAATCGGCAGAGCTGGCTTTCCTGTTGACCCTGTTTTTCTTTGTCTGGTGCTTTTTCCCATCTACCTGACAGTTCAAATTGACTTTGATGAGGACTAATTTTGCTAGTTGAAATTTATGAGGCGCCTACGTATTCAGCTTGGCTCAAATTGCCATGACAAATCCTAGTGGCAATTTCTTCCCTGGCTCATTCTCTGATGTGCCCTGGGCACGATGGAGTGCCCCTTCCCCTCCCCAGCATGCCATCTGTCCCCTCTGCCAGCCCTGCCGTGTGCCCTGCCTCCCGCAGCTTGATCACAGCCTTTCCTACAAGCGTGGTGGCCGTGGCCCTGTGGGAGGGACAGATGCCTACTGGGGATCAATATTCCTTGGGAAAATTGCCACCAACAGCTCGCCTGGCTCTCTGTGACCATGTTGGCCCCTTTTTGCTACCTTACTGTAGAAATTGACTCTGATGAGGATCTGCTTTCCGGCGTTCTGCAGGCTGGCCCTCCACTCGTCCTGGCTGCTGGTCCCTGTCGTAACACTGGTGCTGTGTCAGCCTCCTTGGGCGGGGCACTGTGTCTCCAGAACAGCCGTGATGGGGTGGGCGTGTCACACTCTGATCCCTCCTTCCGGCCTTTATTGTAACTATGTCCACCCTACTGTTATGCACATCATTTTCTGAACGTTGAGTTCAAATTGGTTCCTTCTTGTTTGAGTTTCCCTTGCACACAGGAATAACCTGTGGGGCTATTGTGCTGACTGTCTGTCCCTCTCAGGTCCCATTAAGAGGCCCCAGTGACTAAATTTGTAAGGAGCTTTCCCTAGTCCGCTGTGCATCACCCTGTCAGGACCTCGGACAGCACCACAGTGCCTACAAGGCTCCAGCCTCAGAGTCACTCAAAATCTGACTCCAATAACCCCGTTGATAATCGTTCATTCCCCAGATGTGGTCTTTTAATGCTACTCAGCAGCTGTTCACTGCTGGGGCTGGCCTGAGTACCAGGCTGGGCCTTCACCAATAAGCCAGTGAACTGAAAGGATGGCACGTGACTGGGCAGTAAAGGATGCATAGGAGTTTGCCAGAGGGATTCTGGGAGGAGGTAGCTGCAAGGACAAAGGTTCACAGGCTGGAAAAAGGCTGGGGCATCTGGAGGGCATAAAGGCAGAGGTGCAGGGTGTGTGCGCTGCAGGAAAGAAGGGGGGCAGGAGGTGACCTGGGAGACTGGTCAGGTGCATTTATTGGATGTAGGCTGGTGCTGCCTCTTGGCAGCCTGGCCCCACCCTGGGGAGATGGAGGCCCTTTTCCTGCTATAGAGGCTGCGGGTGCCCGTGTGCCACGCAGATGGGGGCCGAGGGGCAGGGCTTTGGGCAGGAGGCAGAGACACTGTGCATCTAGGTTGATCTTTGCAAGATGCCCTCCGAGCCCGAGCTCTGTGCCGCCCAGGACCGAGGAGGGGCGTGGCCGAGTCGGCCGTCCGGGTCTTCACCGAGCGAGCACCGCTGTGCGGTGTGCAGCAGGCGAGGCGACAGCTCCCGCCCACGTCCACGCTGACTTCCGCTCACATCTTCACGGACCCTGCAGGCAGGGGCATGCTGCCAGTTCTGTTTTGCAAAGAAGGCCACGCAGTCCAGAGAGGCCGAGGCTCCTGCTCAGGTGGCACAGCTTGGGGGTGACGTGCTGAGTTTTGAAGCCGTTTGACCTGTTTCTCGTGCTTTCTGTCCCTTCTAACGTGGCCTCTGTGCTCGCATCCTGTGTCTCCGTGGCTGGTGGGGACTCCCGGCTCTGGCCCCAGTGCCTCGGCAGCCGTGGAAGGCTCCAGGCCTGTCCCTTGCTGCCCTGCAGTTCTGGCGACAGCTCACTGTGTGCTGTTGTCTCTGGTCTCATTATTATTATTATTTCTTTCCACCGTGCTGCTAAAAGCTTCCTGCAGAGAGCATGCAACCCAGCTTTTTAAAATTTAAAGGGCTTTACTTAAACAGTGCTGTTTCCCTTGGAAAGGAGACAGAGAGGCAGATGCAGTGGTTATATTTAGTGCAGCATGGGGCTTGGTGGGTGTGCAGGTGGCCAGGGGATGTGGTTTATGGTGATGCTTCAAGGAAAAGGAACTCAAGGGGAGGGTCTGCAGCCAGCCTCCCTCCCTCTGGAACTCCAGTGTGGCCTCAGAAAAGCCATCATTCAGCATTCTAGGAAGAATGAGGATGGAGGCCTAGCGAGGGTGCCCACTGGGGACACAAACCTGGACAAAGAACACTGCCCACCCTTTGCTTTGTGCTGCCCCAGGACCTTTGCACATACTGTCCCCCTGCTAAAACTTACCTCCTCCCATGTCAGTCAGCTGTAGTAGTCAGCTTTTGTCACTGTGACAAAGTACCTGAGACAAATGACTTAAAGGAAGGAAGGTTTATTTTGGCTCGGGATTTCAGAGGTTTCAGTGCGTGGTCAGCTGGCTGCCTGATTTCTGAGCCTTGGGGAGGCAGAGCATCTTGGCAGAAGGAGAGGCAGAGTGAAGCTATTGCCGCATGGTGTCCAGAAGTAGAGAGCTGTGTGCAGAAGGGCCAGAGGGCAGGGAGCTGGGGACAGATAGAATCCCTGTCACCTTCTAGGTCTCCCTCCTGTGTCCATCACCTCCTGTGATGACCTTGCTCTTCCCTGGTCCATCCACCTTCCCAAAGCCTTCAGCATGTGAGCCTGGGGACTCGTGGTTCCGGGCAGAACAGTGGCACCTTCCTCATGGCTCTGGTCTCCTCCGATGGCGCCTGGCACAGATGTCTCCTGAGCTCCTGCCGTGTTCACAGCACCATGGGGCAGAGACGCATGCCCCGGGGCCGAGCAGGCACTGGTAGGATCTAACCTGGGTCTGCAGCAGGACCGTCGCTGCCATCCCAGAGCTGGGGGCCTGGAGGAGGTTCTCAAGAGCCAGCTTGAGTGCTGAATGGGCCAGTGGGTCTAGTGGAGCGACGCCCATCTGAGAGAGAATTCCTTCCTTCCTTCTTTGGTGTACCTGTTCATTCATTCATTCAACAAACACTGATCTGACACCTGTGCCGCAGATAGGCTGGAAGGAGCAATAGCAGAGTACTGTGTGCCAGCCGCAGGATGCAAACACACAACAGAATCACCCTAATCAATGTTGGGTGGTGAGAACCAGAAGACTGTTGGGTATCGACCATCGGGCCAGACTCAAATGAGGTTCTGGGAGGTGAACAGGACCTTGCACGATGGGAAGAGCTGGTCACCCCAGGGTTTTCAACTGTATTCCTTGGCACCCCAGTTTCCCTTTGGAGAACCCCCAGGTCACTTTGGGAGATAGGAATGTGGGTCAAGATGATAATCAAAGGGTCCCTTTTCCTCCAATCAAGCCAAGGTCCCTCCTTACCTGTTTTTACTGGCTGGGCTCCTTCGGGGGTGGGGGTGGGGGTGCAACAGCCAAGGACAGCATTTGGAAATGGACGGGGGCGCTGGAGAGGGATCCCAGGCTTTTCTGTTTAGGGTCCACCCTCCTTCGTCTACAGGCAGAGAAACTGAGGCCACCCACTGAGGGACCAGTGAATTATCCCAGGCCACCAGCAGGAGGGGACACATCGGGGACCAGAGCTGCTGATTCCTGCCACCTTCTGTCTGGAAGTCTCGGGGGGCCACACATCCCCGATCGGGGAGGACACGGACCTCCCTGGGCCCCGAGAGCCCTTCTCCACTTCCGGCTGAAGGCTGCCCCACCCCCCGGGGAGCCTGGAATTAAAGAAGATATTTTATGATCACACGCTTTGTTACATTTTATTAAAAGCACCTGTGCTGGCCCTGGCTCACACAGCTGCCGCTGTCCCCACCCTGCCCTCAGAGCAGTGGCTCAGCGGGGGAGCAGGCACCCAGGGGAAGAAGGGGACCCTGCGGGTGACCTCCATGTGCTCCCGCAGCTCCCTGGGGGGCTGCTCAGAGAGGTGGAGCTGGAGACCAGAGTTACCCAGCATGGCACTCGCCCTCATCCTGCGTGCGTGAGCTCCTCGTGTGCTCTGTGGGAAGCAGGACCAAGCTGAGGTCCCCTCGCGCTGCTCACATCCGATGCCCTGGTGACCACAGGCACGAGTAGCTTTGCTCTCCGCAGTGGTGTCTCAGTCTGGCAGCCGCCAGAAGCCCTGGAATCCAGATATTTCTACTGGAGAAGCAGCCCTCCCCTTCCTCTAGGTAGAAGAGGCCAGCCGGGAGGCCATGGCAGGCCCTGGGTCAATGCTAGATGTCTCATTTTGGGCAAGGCATGTAATGGCCCCGAGCCTCAGTTTCCTACCTGGGACATGAGGGTGACGCTCCCTGCCTTGTTGGTGGGATTGCTAAAGCTTCTGATATCTAGTAGTCACTCAACGCACAGTAGACTTTGCCATAGGTGAGAAGGTGTTCAACCAAATCTTCACTGCAGGGCAGAAAGTGAGAACCCTGCTCATCATATTATTATTGCTGTTGTTATTATTTAGCTAATATGGAGAGCTTGCTGCTCATCTGCCTGATATTGATGGATGTCTTACCGTGTACTTGGGGACCCCACCCTAAGGGACTGTCAAGGTCTTTGGCCTTTGCTGGATGAGATAGAAGTAAACAGATGACCAGCCACTGACCTTTAATCCCACCCTACGCCCATTTTGCAGATGCGGGTGGTGACTCAGAAGTGGAGCCTCATTGCTGGTGTGTGGGGAGCTGGGATTTGAACTGGGGTCTCTCCGGCCCTGTCCCTTCCTCCGAGTTAGCGGCCACCTCTTGCCTGCTCAGGTGTACCTGTGGCTCTGGTCGGGGGCGGGGGACAGAGCCCTGCACAGCGGGGTGAGCGGGCAGGGTGGCAGGGAGCCCAGGAGTATTGATGGCCCTCGGAGCTGGCGGGTGACGGCGGCGGAGAGGTATTAATTAGCAGTTATTCCCTGGCAGCGGGGAGATGGATAGAGATGAAGGTGGCGGCCCGCACATCCGTTTTGTAGCAGCTGAGACGCACCAGTAAATCAGCGCTATGAATCGATGCTGGGCGAGGAAGATACGTTTTGATCTTATTAGTGGTGCAGCGTCCCGGGAGCAGCGGAGAATCCCTCACTCGGGCCCAGCTCGGAGGGAGGGAGAGAGCGACAGGCGCCTGGACATCCTGGAGGACAGAGGATTTAGGTCCCATCGGGGGTCACTGCTAACAGGACTGCAGGGTGGGCACAGGGACACGAGCTCAGGGACTGGGTGTTTCCCTCCCTCCTCCCTCCTGCCTCTGTTCAGCTCTCCACACCAGGGCCAGAGCTCTCTAAGGGAAGAAGACCAGAAGGCGGAGGAAACAGAAAGACCCCGAGCAGTTAAAATAAAACCTGAGCACCTGCCGTTAGTTCCAGCCAGGATGGGCGGCCACCCTCTTGGGCCTCCTTTGCCTGCCAGATCTCAGGACTTCTCTAGCAGTCTCTGATTTGGGCTTTTTCCTTCTTAAATTAGCTATTTCCTCCTGTATCGCTTCAATCTTTCAGTGGATTCTGAGATAGAAGTATTATTGGCCCCATTTTAGGGACAGGTAAACTGAGGGGCTCAGGCAGGGTTAGTAATTTTGTGAAGGAGGCACAGATAGGCAGTGTCAGAGCCTGGGTTCTAACCAGGTCAGTGCATTTGCAGGAGCTTAGCTCCCTCTGCACATGGCCAGGAGACCCTGTAGACTTCCGGATTTCTGTGCACCTTGTGTTGTGGGGACCTTGCGTGTATTGCTAGACTGGCCAGAGCCTTGTCTTCCATGCAGCAGCCTTCCACAGTGGGATGGGTGGGGTGACTGGGTGTGTGTCCCCCTGCAGGCCACGTGGGCAGCCTGGCAGTGCCCTGATGGGGGTTGGGGCCTCACACTCCTTGTCTGTGTCCTCCAGGCCCCACTTGGGACTCAGCATGGGTGGCACAGGGTTCAGTGGCACTGTAGACCTTCTCATGGCATCCTCGTAGGGAGTGACCATTGCCTGGGTGCCTCCTGGTGGCGCCCCCAGTGCCCCCACCTCCTCTCCCAGCAGCATCTGGCTTGTGGGACCCAGAGACAGGGAGGCTTCTGGCAGGTGGGAGGGGACCCCACCCTAGTGTGGCCCTCAGCCTACCAAACCAGTGAGAACCCAGCTTTAAATTCTTAACCTAAATAGCCTCACATTCTCTCTCTCTCTCTCTCTCTCTCTCTCTCTCTCTCTCTCTCTCTCGCACTTTTTTGGAGCAATTAAGGGAAAGCATAAATCAGTCCAGTTTTAAAAGCTCAAGCTGACTTTGTGGCTGGCTAAAATTAGTGGCTTCAGAAAGGAGCTAGGAGCTGGATTTGGCTTCCAGACAGCCATTTACCCAAGCCACAGGTGATGCCAGAGAGGGCGGCCAGGCCGCCGGCCCCGTCTCGCCTCTGCAGAGTGGCACGCCCTGTCCAGGCCCACCCCTGTCCAGTCCTGGGCTCCCCGGTAAGCTAGAGCACGGGTGTGCAGAGTGACTGAGTCTGAACTCCAGCCTCGCCACACTTGTGCTGGAGAGCCCTGGGCAAGTGTCTTCACCTCTCTGAGCCCCATTCCTGCACGTGACCCAGGGACTGAAACCTGCCCTGTGGAGCAGTGTCCCGTGGGGGATGGAGAGGTGTTAAGAAGGGCTGTAACGTGTGCCCACTGAGCAGCCTGTCTGAAATATCTGGCACTGGAAGTGCTTCAAATTCTGGATTTTGGAATATTGCAAATACGAAATGAGATATCTCCAGGTTAGCACCCAAGTCAACCCAGGAGATTCATTTGGGTCAAGGAGGCTGAGCCCGAGACCCACGACTTCCCCCAGGCAGCACTGCAGGTGCCCTGCAGACTCCACCTCCCCCGGCCAGGGAAAGTGGGCAGAGTGACCGCAGGAAGTGATGACAGATGATGTCACATCTGCCCTGCTAACCCCCAGGGGGCGGAAGTCCCCAAGATCCTCACAGGCTGGCTCAGTGCAGCACACGGTGGGGTCTGCACCCAGCACTGCCTGCGGCGGTCACTGGACCTCCCAGAGCCTCAGCTCCTCAGTACAGTGGGAATGGGGGGTCCTTTGGGGGGAGACTCTCGTGAGTGAAGCTGGTGCTGGGGGTCTTTGTGGGGTTTGGGCTCGTGGCAGTGAGGAGCCCAGAGTGCCTGCACCTCTAGGAGCTGAGAGCAGTGGGTCCCCATGGAGGCGCTTGCTGGCTGCCCTTAGGGGGATGCTGGGTGGAGGGATGAATGAATGAATTAGTGACTGAGCAAATGAAAGGAGACGGATGCTGCCCGCCATCTGGGTGTCCATCGTTCTTCCCATTGGCGCTGACTTTCCAGCCATCTGGCTTCTGCTGCCTCCTCTGAGCCTCACTGCCCTGTAAGGTGAGGCACGGATGTCATCTTGGGCCACTCTGAGCCACCAGAGGTGTTCGTGCCCTTCTATTTCTGATCCCAGAAGCTCCCAGGGCCTGTAAAGTCCCTCGACCACCTGTCCTGGTCTGACTCCTGTCCGTTCAGTGGGCAGCCAGCTCAGCTCACCCCAGGGGGACGGTTAATTGCTCCCAGACTATCTGCTCATCTCGCAGGCTCTTATCTGGGCCTGAGCATTTAGGCAAACACATTAGGCCCACTCAGTCCAGAGCCTTTGGACAAACATCCTAACCTCTCCTCAGCTGAGAGGCTGTGCACAGCGTTGGCCTCTGAGCACCCACCCCAGGGCCTGTCATGTCCTGTCCTGTCCCAGACCACCTGCAGGTCCTGAGCAGCCCAGGCCCTCACATCCGGAGACTGAGCCCTGGGATTGTGGCCAGTGAGATCCAGCCAGGCTGTTGCTTCCCCACCCAACTGCTCAGAGGTGCCCTCAGTCAATCACAGGAGGCAGAGAAATCCTGAGGAGGGTTCCACAGCCACGCTTGAGGGATTAGAGGATTCTGTGTGACTTAGCTTGATCAACAGATCCTTCTGCAGCAAGGGGCTGTCACCCAACTGTGCGCTCCCTGGGGTCCCGGGCCGTGACTTCTCACCTGCACCAGCTCCCCAGTGAGGCTTTGCAATGGGCCTCTGCCTCTCCCAGAGTGAGGTCACTCCTTTGAGGGAGCTGGAGGAAAAAGTGACCTCATCTGTCTTCTGGGATGGAGGCTGCCCCCACCAAGGTCCCCCATGTACCCATCTTCCCTTGGTGCTCCAGTGAGGCTTAGGGTGCCATTTCTCTCTCTGCTGCACAGATGGGGAGACTGAGGCCCCAGGCTGAAGTCACTTGCTGCTGGAGGTATCGCTGGCTGATCTTTTCAAGTTACAAATCCCACAGTCCTCCTCCCACCTAGCACGATCTGGGGTCCCCCGTGCTTGCTCGCAGCAGGCCCGAGGTCCTGTGGCTGGTGAGCACAGTGCCTTTTAACACCCGGGCGTGGGAGGCCTCCAGGTCCATTCTTCCTGCACCGCACTGCGTGGTCCGTTGAGGGAGGCTCGTTTAGGGAATGGAGATATAAAGAGAATTCATACTGTAATTTATTTGCCTGGATTTCTACCATGTGTGGAGGATTTTCCCGTATTTATCTTCTGATGATTCTACCCCAATCCTTCGAGGTAAGCAAGACAGATATTTATTTAACAAATATTTATGTAGTACTTACTGTGTGCTGGGCCCGCTCCTAAGCGCTTCATAAATATTAATGAGTTTAATCGGCGTTAAGCACTCTATGAGTTAGAGGCTGTGATTTTCCCCATTTTGTAAGTGTGGAAACCGAGGCACAGAGAGGTGAAGAGAGTGACTCGGGACCACACAGCCAGAACCGGGGCTTCGT